AAATTATTGCATTATATGTTATAACGCTTGTACTATACATTAGAATACTTGCACTATATGATCTCATGCTTACACTTCGCTAGGATGATTAGGATTTTAGGCCATCTGTAGCATAAATTCACCCCCAATTACAACAATATTGCATGACAATGGTAGCGTACAAGCAGCCCCCTGGTGGGCTAGCGTAGTTAGGGCTGTGAGTGTAGAGGAACATGACGGGTAGTGAGCTCACCAGCGTGGTCCGGTGACTGCAGCAGAGGCGAGCGAGGATGTATAGCAATTGACGCTTCGCTGGGTTCAGCAAATTCTCCGGACGTGCCAAACGATGCGTAAATACAGCCATGCACTGACCCTGAATGACAGCATCAAAGCGATTACCCACTGACACGATACGTATAGCATCGATACAGTTACACAACAGTACGATACACACAGCATCGACACAATTACACAGCGACACAATCAATACCAACAATAATACAATTACACAATATATACTTTTGCACATGCATTCACTTTTAAAAAAATTTACAAAGGCTGAAACCATCTTTCTGGTAGAAGCTCTGAAGAAAAAGAAGAAGATGATGACGACAAAGAAGATTAGGAAGGAGATAAAAGAAGAATTTCACTCACCCAATGGTGTGAGAATTCCTGGATTCTCAGAACCAGTTGATGTGGTTGTAAAGCATTTCATCCATCGTCGCCTGACAAAATGAAAAAAACACATGCTAGTCTTTTTTATCAGTTCAGCTATCGAGTTGAATAGAATTTCATTGAATCGTCTCCGTAGAAAAAAGACGCAGGCACGATCTATTAGATGATGGTTATGACTCAGTCACACATTTATCTTAATAGCAAAAAAAAAATTACGACAACTACCTGATCTAATGCCAGCATGACACTCAGCAATGGGTTTCTGGGCCTAGTTGTTATTGGCATCCTATTACCGTACTGTGCCGTTACTATTACCGACTCCGACAACTTTCGTAAGTTAGATTCGATATGCCGCGTAACTCTTTGTACTGTTTGAACTCCGTACAGGGGTACATTTGCTATGTGTAATCTAACGTAACCAGTGAAGATGTTTGTGTCTGAAATACGTGCATCTAGCGTTGTGTGCTTTGTAAGGTACGGTCCGGCATATTAGATAGTACCCGCAGAGCATATAAATCACGTTGATTTATATATGCTCTGGTACCAGGGTACGTTCCGGCAGTACCCTGGGAGACATAGACCCTCTCAGCACTACTACTACTAGTACTACTACTACTAGTACTAGTCTTGCTACTAGTCAGTGAACACTCAACAACACTGTCACTGTCAACACTGACAACAGTCACAGTGACAGTGTAAACAACAACAATTTAACAAACGAGATTATAATCAAATGTGTACATAATGTACATGTATATAATATAGGTTATGTGTATATATTATCTATATTTATAGTAACTATGTATAACGAGTGCAATTTAGCTGCAAAAAGATTCGAAGCTCCCTGTGTTTACGTAGCAGACGAAACAGCTTACCCTAAGAGCCTCGTTTTGATTCCAACATGGCCGCGGCGTGAATCGCGGTTGTTGATGTTTGTTTTCTGTCTTGAATACGTGAACCTAAGTATGTTGTGTGAAGTTATTCCTACACTAATAACACGTCTTAAATTGAAGTCGATTTATAGTGGTACATTTACATTACAAATCCAGTGCGTACACTGACGTAGGGCTGTGTATTTTTAATGCTTGGTTTATGTCATGGTTTATTGTTTATGGCCTATATTGTTATCCTATATATTATTATTACTATATATATTGCTTACAAATCTGAATAATTTAAGGCAGTATAAATCATGTACATGCTATTTTCAGAGATTCCGGTAGCATTATGGCCGAAGACCCAGCTTACACCAGTGAACAGCGAACTGTTAAGCTTTGGTGCTGCGACTCAAACAAACGAAAAGTCAGCGATGCCACTGATTTGGACGTCATCTTCACGTCGCTGGAGGACGAACTGTGGCAGCTCAGGTACCGGTGCTTCTGCTCTCGCGCACGAACGCGCACGTGCATGGTAATTCGTTTCATGTTTGCTCGTGGGATCCCCAGGAAATTCGTTAAAGGCGTGAACGATTTAGCATACCTCTTTAGTAAAGATTTTGTCAGCAGAAGTGGTGTTGGCGATGTTGTGGGTCTACTACGTCGGATGTTTTGATTGGCAGGGGCGAGCAAGGGGACGTGCAGGGTCGCCGGGCTGTGAACAAGCTCTACAAGCTGATCCAGGAGGAGGTGTTTCCTGCGGTAGGTATACCAGTAATTGCTGCTGCTTCTGCTGCTGCTGCTACTACTGCTACTACTACTTCTGCTGCTACTGCTGCTGCTGCTGCTGCTGCTGCTGCTGCTG